TCAGCCTCGGCAAACATCAAATACGGGTTAAATGTTGATAGTCGGGCACTGAGATAAAACTCTCCTGGAAGAACTTCTTACATAACTGTTCCTCGCCTGTCCAGAGTTCAGATATTTGTCTCAGGGTCCATGAACGAGTGAATTCAGTCATAAAAACTACATGCAGTGATGCTCCTCCAGATCTCAGTTAGTTAGTCTGATATATCTCAGTTATTTTAGCTAATCATTTTAGTCAAAATAAAACCACATTATTGTTTTTATTCCAGCGAATCTGTGTGGTGCTTTGGTCTCCAGTGTTTTGGTCTCAAAGCGACTCTTTCTGCTCAAAGGTTTGTTTGTCCACTAGCTACTGATTTACTACCTGCCTTAGTCACTGCAAACACACCGGCTTTATTACTGTTGCTCTGTACAGATACGCCTCTGACAGAGATAAAGACCTTCAGCACAAACAGTACAAGCAGAAATGAAAACTCATCATTTTCATCATCGCCCTCATGTTCCTCCCAAACCTCCATGACTTTCTTCTGTGGAACATAAAAGAAGATATTTTGAAGAATGTTTGGGTTGTCAATGTACGGACAAAAAAGTCAACAAAGTCAACATCCTTCAAAATATCATCTTTTGTGTTCCACAGGAAAGAGTCTGGTTGAGTAAATGATGACAGAAGGATTTTTTGACGTTTTTAACTCTTTCCCCGCCAGCGTTTTCAAAACAAAGTTGCCAGCCACTTATTGATAATTTTCTCGGCCCCCAGAATATTATCTGAACATGCAATATGTCCGAAGAAAGAACAGAAACTCTGCTTTTAAACTAAACAAACTGTTTTATTCTAGCTTCATGCATTCTTTTTAAATCAACACTTAAATGTGGGTAAATTTAATGAAAAAAGTAAAATTTTGAACAAAAAGCTGAGAAAATCACGTTTTTGTAAAAGACTACGTCTGGATTTGGATTCAGAACGACGATCAAAACATGGATGCAGCAGACCGCTTCCATCAACACCCCCAAAAACAGTCCTAAACCACTTCTTGAGTCAACAGTTCATTCGGTAACTTTATGCAGTTTTGATTTACATGCTGTTTAATGCTTTATGATCGTGTTATTTTACATATGCATCTGATTACACGTGATTCTGCTTCTTCTTCACCCGTGTTTTGATCCAAGGATTCATTACTCTGTCAGAAGATGTGTAACAGCGCCTCCTACTGAATAACAGTGAAAATACGGAAAGATGGAAGTTGATATAGAGTCGGTCCACCGTTGCAGCTATAACAGCTTCCACTCTTCTAGGAAAGATTGTGTGTTAAGAGTTTAGGAAAATTGTTAAAAGTATTGAAAAAATAGCGATCGTAAAAAACGGTAAATTCACTGAGCTCTTCAGAAATCGAAATGCAGACGGCATGGCTAGGTGAATTTATACATCTGTCGCATTTTCAAACACCTGAATTCAGTCATTATTAGGAGACATGTCCCACTTTGTGTCCAATCCTCAGTGACAGTGTCAGTGTTGTAAAATTCATCGATTATTAAACAAATAAGCAGCTCTACAGAAGACACCTGAGTCGTTATTCAGATCAAATTTTGTTCAGTGCAGGAAGAGACGTTTATATTTTTAATTCCTCGGCTGAGAAGGTTTTTGATCATTTTATGATCTCTTTGTGATTGATGAAGCAGATGCTTGTCTCAGCATTAGGTGTTTGTGTTCAGTGAACAGTCAGGTTTGTTTGTTTCTGTGTGGATATCTTTAGTAAGGACAAAGTCTGGATGGTCATTTTTAGAATCTGGGCTGATGTGCAAATAAGCACTGACCTGAACTAGACCTGAACGCCCGGATCTGAATGTGAGACTGAGGATAAAGCGTGTGTGAGAGACCGTGAGAGTGTGCAGTGACTCGAGCGCAGTGGATCTGTCAGGATGGGAGGTGAGTATGAGCACACATCAGAACTGATGATTGATGCTGAGCTGCACTCAGTCTAGACCTGATGAAGGATTCTGTGTAAATGCTTCGTCATGATGGATCTTTGCTCGGCTGATGCTTTGACAGAGTCCTGATCTCAGCTGTAGAAGTGTTAGTCAGTCATTTTAATGGAATAAACATGAAAAACTGCTATAGTGAGACCTGTTAACCACTTAATTGTCAATAGGTACAGTAAAAATGATATATTAAAAGACATTGCATGTCATTTTGATTCTAAAATTATTCATTTTATTTAAAAATGTTTTAATTATTTTTTCTTTTAAAATATTTAAGATTATAATTAATAAAATGATAAAATTTGTATTTTAAAATGAGTTTAATATTGAATTAAAATATATATTTGATGTTAAGATAAATTTTGGACTTTTGCACTGTTTTATGCACATTTCTAATTAAAATACAGGTGAATATTTGTAGTTTTCTGTAAATTGTTCCTTGCTCAGTTCCTTGCTCTTGTACAGTAATTATGAATTATGTGTACATCTAATTAAACTTAAGGCAGACTTCATGGACAGTCATCATTTAGTGCAGAGCAGAATCACAATTGAACGGAATCTCTGTCAGTATGATGTTGTATTTACATCTAGATAAAGCGTGTGTGAGAGACCGTGAGAGTGTGCAGTGACTCGAGCGCAGTGGATCTGTCAGGATGGGAGGTGAGTATGAGCACACATCAGAACTGATGATTGATGCTGAGCTGCACTCAGTCTAGACCTGATGAAGGATTCTGTGTAAATGCTTCGTCATGATGGATCTTTGCTCGGCTGATGCTTTGACAGAGTCCTGATCTCAGCTGTAGAAGTGTTAGTCAGTCATTTTAATGGAATAAACATGAAAAACTGCTATAGTGAGACCTGTTAACCACTTAATTGTCAATAGGTACAGTAAAAATGATATATTAAAAGACATTGCATGTCATTTTGATTATAAAATTATTCATTTTATTTAAAAATGTTTTATAATTATTTTTTCTTTTAAAATATTTAAGATTATAATTAATAAAATGATAAAATTTGTATTTTAAAATGAGTTTAATATTGAATTAAAATATATATTTGATGTTAAGATACATTTTGGACTTTTGCACTGTTTTATGCACATTTCTAATTAAAATACAGGTGAATATTTGTAGTTTTCTGTAAATTGTTCCTTGCTCAGTTCCTTGCTCTTGTACAGTAATTATGAATTATGTGTACATCTAATTAAACTTAAGGCAGACTTCATGGACAGTCATCATTTAGTGCAGAGCAGAATCACAATTGAACGGAATCTCTGTCAGTATGATGTTGTATTTACATCTAGTGTGTGTGTGTGTGTGTGTGTGTGCGTG